CTTTCCCTGATAGGAGTCGGCCTCATGGAGGTTGTTATGGAGCCTGATATGTGCTGTGGGGAAGAAGCAGCTGCAGCAGTCAGAGAGCTTCAGCTCATTCTTCAAACGCTTGGGAGCAGCCAGGCAGTCATGGCAGGTACAGAAGGGGGAAGGGCATGTTCCCTTGTCACCAGTAATTCTCTGCATTTGCAGGAGTTTTGCAGCTTCTGGTTATTTTGCTCTGTGGTTGCTTATAAAGCATAGCCTTTTCTAGCTGTTGTTTTTACAATCCTCAGAGCCTGTCCTAATGTCTGTCGTGCTTCAGGTGTCCTTATGGGCCTGCCTTCATCTGCAGAGCTTTGCAGTGCTAGATTTTATATTGCCTCACACAATAATTTTACAGGATAAACCTAGGCAGGAAGGCATGTCCCCAGGGTTCTTGTGATGTTTCTCCTTGTCTGTCCTCATCTTTCTTGCTACAGCACTGCAGCACAGAAGATCTGTAGTAAGGATTAGTTGTAGAATATGGAAGTTATGGGACAAAGTAGTTGTGCTAGTTTTGGCTGGGGTAGAGTTAATTTTCTTTACAGTTGCTAGTAGGGGGCTATGTTTTAGATTTGTACTGGAAACACTGTTGATAACACAGGGATGTTTTCATTACTGCTGAGCAGCGCTTACACAGAGTCAAGGCCTTTTCTGCTTCTCATCCCACCCCACCAGCGAGCAGGCTGGGGGTGCACAAGAAGTTGGGAAGGGACACAGCCGGGACAGCTGACCCCAGCTGACCAAAGGGATATTCCACACCACATGACATCATGCTCAGCATATAAAGCTGAGGGAAGGAGGAGGAAGGGGGTGATGTTTGGCATGATGGCATTTGTCTTCCCAAGTAACCGTTATGTGTGATGGAGCCCTGCTTTCCTGGAGATGGCTGAACACCTGCCTGCCGATGGTTTTTCCATGTGTCATGTTTCCTTAGGTTCTCAACAGGAGATGTGTAGAAGCAGCAGTGATGACAGGCCTGGCACTCAACTGCAGCATAAACAAGAAGTCCTTGTTTGACAGAAAACACTATTTCTATGCAGATCTGCCTGTAAGTATGCAGTATAGCTGGTCGCTTTACGACTGTAGGAAAGGACAAGTCTGGAGTACGGGTGGCAGTAGGGGATGAGTGAAGAGATGCTTTTTCTGGTTTCAGTCAGTGTTCTGCTCATCCCACCAGGATGCTGCGCTGTGCCCTGATGAATAGACAGCTGTACCCTGGTGCTCACTGATTGAATATGATTGCTCTGATTGCTGACTCCTTGCTTAGCTGCACGATTCCGGTAGCTTAGTGTAATTGAATTGGGAGCTGGAGCTGCTTTGCCCCTTAAGTTCTCCGTTCCTGGTGTTTAGTACTAATTGTCTGTTAGGGTAAAAGCAGCCTGATAATAGACCTTCATTTAAAGTGAATATATAACAAACACAGGTTCCAGTGGTATAAACATAATAGTGTCTTTTTTGTGTGTGCTTAGGGACCTAAAAATATTTAATTTCCCTTTAAAACTTTCTCAGTCAGTAGTTCCAATAAATTAAAAAAAAAAAAAAGAGAAACTGAGTGTTTGCGGTGTGGTTTGTTGGTAGCTTTCATATTTGGTAGAAGGTGTCACTAGAAGTCAAATGCATTTTGCCACACTTGATATGGATGTAGAAATATTGAAATCATTTAAGAACCTGACTTCTGTCATTGAAACAGGATGCAGCAGTGTTTGAGCCTTTTTCTCTATTTTAATGAAATTAAACCTTTCTAACTTTAAACATGGTTTTTTTTTTCTGTCAGCTTATTTGTTCTGAATGTTCATTTTAACACTAAGCTGTCAAAGGGATGACCCTAGTTTTACTTCCTCTGATTTTGGGTTGAAGATCTGATGACTGCATTAAAAGAAAAAAATCTGTTTCTGTTTTATCTGAGAAAGATCAGGCGTGTTAGCTTATCCTCTCTTTAGGTGGGGTGTCCCGGACATCCAGAGAAGCAGAGTGGGAGATTTCTCAGGTCCCAAATTAAAGTGTAGAGCTGCTCTATTATTAACCAGACTACTTACTCTGCCACTCTTTTGTTCAGGCATTGGAAATATTTTGAAGTTACACAAAACATATTCAAATACAATTGCTTCCCACCTTAGAGAATTACGTTATAGTTGTCCGCTGGAGACCTGGATCTCAGAAGAGATTTCTGGTCTGTTTTCTTCTAGGTTGGGAACTTGTGGCTCTTCTGTGAAGCTGATGTAATTACTAGTTTGGTTTCTGGGGATAACTTTGCTAATATTTGTGAGCCATTAAGAGGCCCTTTTGTTGGGGGCTCTGTAGTGAGCTACCGGGAATGTGAAACACAAACTTAGCAGTTTGAATTGCCAATACTTTTTTTTTACTTGTAAAACTACCTTAAAGCCCATTTCCTGAAGGAGAAAAAAGTGAAATAGCAGGAAATAAACTTGACTTTCAAAATTCCTCTACACGTCATAAAGAAACACCAAAAACATCACAGACTTGTTTGCAAGCCACCTTTGGTGTTTCTGCTGTTAAACGAAAAACAGTCTCTCATCTTCTTGTGATGTCTGCTGCTATCAGCCTACTGCGTAGAAGCTATATGGAAGAATGTTGTTATAGGAAAGAAACCACATCGATGTGTTCAGAGGAGAAGAGTGAGATGGAAGAAGGTGTGTACAACACTAAGTGGGCAGACATGAGTTACAGGATCCTCTGGTCAGATAAGCATGGAAATTTGGTCAGGGCAATGCTGACACATTTTATTAGCTTGAAACATGTAATTCTGGCTTTCTGCTGGCTGACTTCTGCAGTTCAAGCACTGACAATAAATGGCCCAACCTTCATTTCATAGTGAAACAGTCTAGTCAGGAACTCAGTAATAAGATGCAGAGTTTAGGCTAATGAGCTGTATAGAACAGATAAAATAAATCCAGCTCTTAGGGTCATTTGACAATGGGATTATTGTTACTCCTGAAAATGGGGCTTTGGATGGGAAGTAGGATTCTTGTTATTTATTGTCACTCACTATTTCAGGCTTTAAAAAAATCATTTTAATGAGAAGTTTTAGGAGATGGGAAGAGCTGTGTGATTAGCATAGGCTGCATAGAGTCAGTTATTTTATTTTTCTTATAGTGATTATGGCTAGAAGGTCATGCACTTTATTGCATATATAAATTGAGCTGTTCACAGGGCCAGACCATTGTTCTCCATTCCCATGCACTGTCACCATCTCTACATTTTAGAGGAAGCTCGTCCTCCTGCAAAATATGCAAATGCTCCTCCCCATTCATTAAAATCTGTCAGGCTTTTTTTTTAATTCTCACCACTGGGAGCATGAGCAGGCTAGGAAGGAGGAAAGAGATGGGGACCCTACGTCAACAGAGGAATTGATTCACTTCTGTGTTTTTACATCATTGCAGTTATTCCAATACCTTGTCACTGGCAGCCCCTTCTCTGGCTAGCAGTTTTCCCTTTGAGTGGAGTCCCAGGCATGAGGTAGCATTTATCAGCTGTGTGCCTTACATGGGGTTGCAGTGTCTATCTTTTAAGTTGCTACATTAATGAAATTGAACTTTCTCATTTTCTTGATTTCCACACTCCCCCCCCTTCCCTCTCCCTCTCCTCCCCTCTAATGAGTAAAGTTCTAAACAGGCAGAGAGAGATATTCAGCCTGATGGGAAGATGAGTGATAGTCCCAGCTTGGGGATGGAGGTACGGTAACTGGCTTCAGACGAGATTCAACATGATCACGGAACCACAGGCGTGGAAGAACATCTTCTAGTCCATTTCCTGCCCCAAGGGAGTATCAGTGAAATTTATGTCATCCTTGGCAAGTGGTTGTGCAGTTGATTACTGATTATTTCAGCATTAGTATAGTATCTTATACTTGCCTGTATTGAGGAGTGCTCTTATTTTTTCCAGACTGCCAGCTTCTCACAGTTATGTCGAATTCTAGACCCATCTTCTAGCTTGCTTCCTTTCCAGCTAAGCCAAATAACTTCTGAATTTACATGTGCATGTGTTCTATCCTCTTATATAGGTCACTGTGGAAGATGTTGCATTTTCAGTTTTGTTCTTAGTGTATAATATTTGCACTTGGCCATGCTGCTGCTTTCTGAAAAGTGAATGTTTTATTTGAGTATAAATCTAATTTTGTTGACAGGCTGGCTATCAAATCACTCAGCAACGAGTTCCTATTGCAGTGAATGGAAGTCTGTCATACAGTCTCTGCATAGACAACAAAATGAGCCAGATGGTGACCAAAACTGTGAGGATTAAACAAATTCAGTTGGAGCAAGACAGTGGAAAGAGTCTCCACGATGACACAAGGAGCCAGACTCTCGTTGACTTGAATAGGGCTGGTAGGCTTGGATTATTTTCCTATTTTTCTCCTCCTTTCTGTGTAAGATGAGTCTTGAAAGGTAAATGGGTGACAGGGAACAGGTGGAAAATAAAAACAGCCCGATGTCTCTCTCCTTGAAAATAAAAATTCATAAAAATGACCATTACACTTGAAGCAGGGGAATACTTTAACTTTTTAATGGTCAGTGGACCTTTCCCATTGCTTTGGTTGATGGCAGTTGGCAATAGCAAGTTAGAAATCTGTTGGCTCCAGTTTGCTCAAAACTGTATGTGTCAGTCACAAACAGCCACTCAACTATTTAAGCTCTTGCCACTGTATGCCTTGTTGTTTAAAAAAAATAAAATATCACAGACCTAGTGAATCAAGTTTGTGTATAGAAGGAGCAGCTGTTGGAATTTGTCAGTGCATGAGTCAGATGTTTCTTTTAATTATTAGCTTTGAAAAAATGTAGATTTTATTTTTAAACTTCGAAATTGTAAACGGAGTGAACAAATTAGCATACACCATGGGCAGCAACCTGGATGGCCAAGCCTAACTGGGACACAGTGTTCCGGTGTCCATTGAAGTTAACGGCTGTGGCTGCTCATATTCTTTGAAAGCTGGATCCTGAAGCTAAAAACTAGACTACATCTGTTTACAGTTCTGTCTGTTCCAAAATTAGTTCAAGATAATTGAATCTGGAATCAGATTGACTTTAAATGGGAGTTCTTCTAGAGAAAGACAGAAGAGGAAACTGTCCTTCTAATCTGCACGTCATGAAAGGGTGG